CGGTCATAGTAATAACTGTTGGAGGTGTTCGTCTAGCTCTAGGAGACGTCAGACCAGACAGAAGACCGCTTCTTCTGCGACCCAATTGATGGGCATCTCGAAGTAGGCGTACGTCCTAGATTTCGGCTTCAGAAAAGTGATTGTCTCTTCTACTTTCGTGACGAACCCCGGCTGTCTCAGGACACTGACCCTCTCGTGATTTCACTGCCGTACACAACCTTTCTCCCTCCGTCCGTCCCGCTTCTCCGTCACCTATCATTAATCTATTCTCTCGTGCTTCTTCTATTCTTCTCCAACGTGTTTCTACGCTGTCCCATCTATCTCCATCCACAAGTAATTTCTCTGAAGGCCCTTATCTGAATCTCTTTCTCATGCCTCCACCTTTCTTTTCTCCTTCATACTTCTCATAGTTCAACAATTTACTCTCAAGAGATATGCCCCGATCCATCAGTTTCCGATCAACGATGAAATTATTGCCTTGGAGACATATTTATAAGTCCGGAATCATAAGTTTCCGATCAACAATGAAATTATTCTGTCAGACAAAACATGTTGCTAAATATTTGCTTTTATTTTCTTATGTTTATTTACTTTTTTTGGTGTCTGGATATTTCTTGACCTTTTATCAGAGTTCAATTTACTCTTAAAGACATTTTTCAAACCATCAGTTTCCGATCAACGATGAAATTATTACGATAGGTCCAGATATCATAAATATTTTGTTAGTTCAGAAATGTGTTTACAAAGACATATTTTTAAAGTCAAAACCATGAGTTTTTGATCAATAAAGAAAAATTATTTTATTATAATCAAATTATTGCACTTTTGTTACATATTTTTATTATTTTCAATCATGAATTTATGAAGGAAAAATGTGTCTTTATTATTAAATTATTTTATTATATTTCCATTACATGAAATTTCTATTTGCTGATCTTTCACTTTTAAACCGAAAAAATAACCAATGCAGCTTTTCAAATTTGTGAAACGGGTTTCCAGCTTTCATTTATTTAAGTGTTGGGAAAGGATGAAAATAAAAATACATGTTCATTTTTATTAATCTCGTTATTATTACAATTATTTTACAATAAATTTCCATTAAATTATCTCTCTGTAACTGAAAAATGTGTTATTTCTTATATAATTCATTATAATTTTGTAAGCTAAAATTCATTTAGAGGTGTATTTTAACCAAATCGTCCCAATCAGTGTTTATTAGCAAATGAGAGAGTTCAATTTTATATTGCGTTTGAGAAAATGTATACTTGAACTTTCCTTTTACATAATCTATAAAATCTGTAAAATTATTAATCGTTTCGGACATCAATGCTTCTATCTACATTCATAGTACAATAATAGGTACTTCGTATAGTCCTGTTTTGATCAGTCCACATTTACTATAATCTGCTTTGCAAATTTCAAAACGAACTAAATTTATTCGGTTTTTCTCTGTATAAAATCAAATTGTGTTTTTTGCGGTTTAAAGTCCTTGATTAGTCCGGTTTTAAACACAGAACCGATTACTCGGACTATGCGAAGATTTTTTGGTACGCACGTTTCTCTTATTTGGCACAAACTTATAAAAAAAAAATAATTTTGAATGATGTCATTTGATAATTCTTGGTTTAGATAAACTAAAAATAAAACAAATAATGAATTGACTAAGTTCTGATGATTATTCTTCAATTGCGTTTATTTTCAGTTTATATATTTTTAAACTGCGATTGAGTTATATCACCGCTCTATTTCTGGCGTTCCATCAAAGACGTTGTATTTGCTTACAATTTATTTATAAATCTTCTTTCATTTATCTATTTGTTTATTTAGTTATTATTAATGTTCCGCTCCTATTAATAATAATAGCTCGGGACGATCGATTGCGTTTGCTTTAAAAATAGATAGCGCTCGCTGGTAAAAATACCAGCGTGCCTCTAATTCGTGATTGCTATACGTTCTATCGACGACACCACAATTACTGTTAGTATTTATTGCTATAATTGAGTTGAGTTATACATTTTTCTTGGACGATTTGATTGGTAACAGTTGGGGAGAAAAAGAGAGAAAGATGCAGAGTAGAGATCTCTAAAAACTCGTTCTTCGTTGAAAGAAAAACAACAAAGAAATAAACAACAAACAAAAAAACTCCACGTACTTACTCTCATATGCGTACGGATTTGCATGTGCGCGTAGCAACTATGAGCGGTTACGCCGCCGCCTCCGCTTCAGCAACAGCAGCCGCCACCGACTGCAGTAGAGGAAGAGAGGCGGCAGGCCAATGCATTCTGCTGAGGTCGCTGCAGCTTTTCGAGTTTTATGTATTCGCGTATTTTTATTTTCTAAAGGTTAGTTGCTCGCGAAGGTAAATGAATTAAGATTATTTCAGCGGTCGTTCCTTTAACAGACAGGACATTGCCATTTCTGTACGTTGACTTTTACGAAGCCTGAAAATATACTCTCTCGACATATACTTACATCGAGCGTTGTTATTATTATTATTATTGTTGTTGTTGCACACAAAAAAAGACGGATGCAGTTCAACAATCTGCCTGTATCGAGTTGAGCAACACGAACCCAAAAGATAATTGTTGTCTTCTCGAAAATAACGCGACACCTTTCTTCTTCATCAGTCGAGACACCATAAATAACATCTCAGTTTTTTTTTATTTTATATTTTTTGTATGGATATCTTTATATTCCATCTGACAAACTGTTATTGTTCTTAAAATCGTTCTTTAAAATTGGAATGATTAAATTGTTCCATCAAATACCATATAATTACACAATTATCATTAATTGCCAAATTTATGATTTTTTTTAAATAAATAATAACATTTTTTATAGAAACGTATATATTTGACTGTAAATTTACAGAATATTAAGAAAAAAAAGTTTTTCTCTAAATGTGACCTTTGAATATCTTTTAAATCTTCATCCCTGAATATTAAAGAAAATCAATTTTGTGGTACCCATGAGTAGTGGTGTTAAATAAAGTATTGAAAAAAAAAATATTGAACTGATTTTTATGAAAGAAAATATTAAGTTTCCATTTTATATTTTTATTTTAACATTGTTATTGGTCATACAATATGACTAAAGGGCTATCTTTCAAACTAAGAATTTAACATTTAGAAAACAATAAAATTTATTCCAACAGTCGTTCAAAAATAAAAATAAATACATATTTATAAATTTCAAAAAACTTAATCCATACAAAAAGGCATAATTTACGGTTTTTCTTCAAAGAGAATTGATATATAGTACACCAATACCTCACATAGTCCGGTTTGAATCAGTCCGGATTCAGTTTGAAAATTTCAAAACAAACTATATTTTAATCAACAAATAAAAATAAATTTAAAAAATTAGTACATAAGATTATATTTTTATTAGGTGATCAGTTTTTTCCTCATGATCAGCTCTTTTAGTACCAAATTGAAATAAGTTATCATCATTTGTCTGTTTTTGTTCTGCCCGTATGTGATTTGTCTTCACCGTTTTTTTTTGCCTTTGGAGTTTTTATATCTTTATTATTTAACATTACCCAGTTTTTCTTTTATTTTTATTTTATTTCTCTAAATCAGTGATTCTTAAATTTTTTGGTCCACTTTGGATATAGAAAGTTTCTCCGACCCTCTGAAAAATGAGTATATGTAGAAAAACAACCAGGATTGATCTGTGACTGATTTTGACTAATTTTTTGTCACTCTGAGAATCACTGCTATAAATAACATTAATTTGACAGTCAAATTTAAAATAAAATTAAATAATTTAACATATAATGGATCAATATATTTTATTCTTTAACGTCATTTACATTCAATTTGTCTTAAATTCATTTGTTAAGACATAATTTAATTAATAAATTAGTTGAGACATTATACATAACAGAGTTTTCTTTTTATTTTCGTTTTTATTAAGATATTACACAATTATTTTTTACATTGCATTTTTATATTCTGATACCTTTGAATCGTAAGGCGCTTCTTAAATTGGTTAAAAAAACAATGCGGGTAGCGGATTATGTTCGTTAAAACATAACATTGAAAGATAGTATAGTTAAAATTGTACTAAATTATTATCATTACTAAACAAACTATAGCGCTTAAACATTTAGTATTCGGGATATTTTTCTTTTCTTTTCAAATCCCTAATATTTATTTATTATAAATATATTTTATTTTGTAAATGACATTTATTCAACACTGACACATTGGGAAGAAAGTACTGAAAAGGTGGTATAAAATTCAATTATCTCATCATTCTCCTCTAAATATCAATTATTTGACAACTACATCTTGATAATATGTATTGAACGCAACTATGTCATCAAATTGTATTACGCAATCATCATTAGCAAAGATCTCGCGAATGCAATATTACCTTGCTGATAGTTTTCACGGTAATAAATAAAAGTTGTTTATTTAGGCGTGTTTCTTATACTTCTTTTCTTAATTATCGATGGTCGAGCATAAACCACGAGGAGGTTAATCAGTGTTAAATCTCTTAGGCGATCGCGCTCTAATCACGTCTATATATAGAACCGGTCGAAGATAACTGAACGCGAATAAATAAATATATAAATAAATAAATGTACGAGAACAAGCGAGCGCAGAGAATGCGTGCAATTGGCTCGACGATTACAATAAATAACGTGCGTTTTAATAATAATAATAATGATGATGATAATAATAATGATAATGTTCTTAGGCGATCGCATTAAGAATCATTGAACTAAAGCTTGAGCGTGTATGTGTGTGTGTGTATACACACTTGCATACGTGAATGTGTGTATGTATATGTGTAAGTGTATGTGTGTGCGAGAGTTGGACGGTCGACGAGAGTGGTTGTCCTTAGATTTTCATAAAAAATCGGATGCATTGCCCCCACGGTTGCTGACCCTAAACGAACCAACCACCACGTGGCCGCCTCTCTTTCTGAGATTTCATTTTTGTTTTCTCTTGTCTATACGCTTTATTTATGTTTTTTTCTTCTTCTTTCAGATGGTTATTTTTATGGTCGTGGCCATCGCCTCGGCCTTCTGGCTGTGGTGGCAGAGACGCGCGGCTACGGGGATGATGGCCTTACCGCCTGGACCCTCCGGTTTTCCGATGTTCGGGTATCTGCCTTTGCTGGACGCGAAAGCTCCGCACCGCACCCTGGCTAAGCTTTGCGTCAAGTACGGAAAGGTTTTCGGTCTGCACCTGGGTAACGTCTATACGGTGGTTCTGAGCGATGCTCGACAGATTCGAAAGGTTTTGGCTATGGACGCAGCTTCAGGTCGCGCCCCTCTGTACCTAACGCATGGGATCATGAAGGGTTACGGTGAGTGGTAAAGAATATTTGAAAAAAAAAATTAAGATACTGCAACCAGTGGGTCACCATGTCATCATCATGTTTATATATAATCAGTATCATCTTAAGTCCTTAAATTTCAATTAATTTTGTTCGGAATACATTTTTCGTGTTTCCTTCGTCCTGTCGACCGCGCATCGCATCCCTACGGTTTGGATCGTCCGACCTGACTGAAGAGATCTCTCGTTCGCTCTTGGTGCTGCAGGAATATCTTCGGCCCCCACCTGCTTTCTTCCTCATACAACTTGTCTATATATACATATATATACAAGGAGTATGTTCGGGTGCATGTATATAGGTATACATACTTATTCACTACATAGGATGAACTCACGTGGAGCAAGGAGCCACATGTTCTCTTGGCTCCACCCAAAGTCTAGCACGCCTTCTATTTTATATATATTTATATATGCTTCGCATCAAAAACCAGGAGTCCAACGTACTAAACCATTTACAAACGACTCTCATCTGAAAAATATAGCTTGTACTTCGTTTATATCTGAATGTTTCATTTAATTTTATACATCTTAGTATCATTATCAACATTTAAAATGTTTACAATTCCATACTGAATGCTTTTATAAGATTTAGTTGCAACAAAAAATGTACATCATATCGCATTTTATTCTGTTAACAGATTTCAGGATATCCGAAAAGGAAGTTTTGAGTTAAAATATAAATTTTTATTTTTGAAAAGTGTTATTACTCGAAAACATTACATTGTAACTACTTTCCTTTTCAAATGTATTTAATGCTTTTAAAAATATTATTCTAAGAAAGGATTTGTGAATTTCAGGATTTGTTATTTATTTAATTATAAAAAAAATACGTTTTATAACAACCGCCTTGGTTGGCAACATACAAGAAGTGCGTTTTAGCGATCACATAAGAATACTACTTATTAAGTTAAGACTAATTGCTAATTTGCAATAATTTCGTTTTTTATATATCATTAATCTTAATCCACAGAGTGGACCATTATCTCAAATAACCATTCCATTTTTAGGATCTAAAACTTCTAATATATACTACTTGTTTCCAGATCTACCAAAAATTATAAATCCTTGTTCTAATATAGAGATTAGATGAATATTCCTTCCAAAGATTGAAATTTAGGATCTAAAATTTTTAATAATTGCTGACTAACTTAAGGATTAAATACAATTTCTAATTATAATCTACATAACTTAAACTTCACAGATTAGACAATTATCCCTTGCAACAATATTTTTCTTAATAACAAAGCAATTTCACAGATATTAGATTAAATAATTATCGTTTAGAACGAATTCGTTTTAAGAACTAAAACTTCTCATAAATATTGGTAAATCTAAGCAAAAATTTGCAAATAGTTAATGCTAATTCGCAGATTAGATAATTATCCATTCAGCGCATTCGTAAGATTAAAATTAGCATCGCCCATGTCCTTAGCAGAACCTGATCACCTGATTTTTAATCATCATCTTCCTCTTGATCTCTTTCTGATGGTATACTGTGACTGCGTCCTCCGCATTCCTCTGCATTACAGACAAGGCCAATAAATATGTTGCGCAATCCCCTTTTGTCACGCGTGGCGAAAACGAAAGTTGAATTTGACGGTGATGGAGGAAGAGCCGAAAACAAACCCAATAACAAGACATGAAAACAAAACAAATTCGTGCAGTGTAAAACAATTCTCTTGATTTCCTTCTGTTTTGCTCTCCTTCCACTTTCGATTTCGCTTAGCTGTTACTGCTGCTTAGTTCATACATGATCAACTTTTTTTTATTAATTAACAATGGTAAATCGATTTTATAAAATTAAATCAATTTTTAGATTCTTAGTTTTTCGAATATTCCAGAAGCTCTGAGCTCATGAGAAAGAAATTTCTCGGTGATGCATCTTTGCTTGTTGTTGTTGTATTGTGTTCTTCTGGTTAGTTCTGGAAATCGAGTCCACGATTGGTGTGGATGAACCCTTCGTTCGTTCGAGAGCAGTCAATAAGTCTCCGGCTCCACTGAACCAACTAGTTCGTTACTAAGTGGTCTGGGAATGCCGCTGCAACTTCTGCCTTCTTCTTATTAAAACTTTTTCCTTTTTATCCTGTTTGTTCTACATTCTAGAACTTCGAGCTGTCGCCTCTCCCTCTTTTGTTTTTACCCCTCGCTATAAATCCCGAAACGCATGCCATTTCGCTTTCGTTTCTTCTTCATGCTGTTGTTGTTATTGTTAGATTTTCGAGAGGTGGAAAACCTTCAAGAAGTACATCAAACCATCGAGCGATCAGTCAACGAACTCGCTTAAACAGATTCTAATATGTTATTCACGCATACATAAATAATCCTTTTATGAATATGTAATTTGCGCGCCTTTTATGTGTAGGAAATTCCTCGAGTAGTAAATAGTAGTAGAAGTAGTAGTAGTAGTCGTAGTAGAAGATTAGGTGAAGGATACTCAAACCGTGCGAGGATCCACGTGCTTTCTGAGATATCCTCTCTCCGATACAACCTTCCAACTATTTTCTGAAAAAGAAGACTCGATTTTTTTAAATATTGATTTATTTATCAATATTTATTTGTTTCAGTCGGGAGAAAATTTCCGTCGTTCTCTTTTTTCCATCGGGGAAATGTCACGGTCGGACGAGGATTCCCGGTGAAACACGCGCGCTTTTTCGACTTGCGCCAGATCGCACCAAAAATAGCCGCAAATCCGAGAGCTTCTCACTTCGTTTGCATGAGCAAGTCATGAATTGTTGCACAATTGTTGCGTAATTTCGCGTACTTTGAACTGGACAATTGCAGTTTTTTGGCAAATCATCGAAACAACTCTCCTTTTTTGTAATATGAATATACAGCAATACCTCGCATAGTACGGAAACCGGTCTAATCGAGGAACTAAGTGCATACAACATAATAGAAATAAACGACACAAACAGATTCTTATCTGAGGCATAATTTTGTGTATTTATTTTTATACAGTGAATTCGGACCGATTGAAACCGTACTAAGGGAGGTATTGCTGTACATAAGCGATACCGGTAGAGTGTATAATTCTGTATTATGCGTTTAGTAAAGTTTAGAAAATTAATGATATAATACGTAGACAATATAATATCTAGGCATTTTATAAAACGTCAAATGTTGAAGTTATTGGATTATTAAAATTCTCTTTATTGAAAGAGTATTATATAAATTGCAAAGACAATGTACCAAATTAGGTAATTTGTAGAATGTCTAGGTATTATGTAGAACACAGGATAAAAAGAAGCTAAGAAAAGAAACTATGCAAATAAAATGATCGAATGTTTCTATTTAGCAAGATTTGATTTATTCGTTTTTGGATTTAGTATGAATAAAGCAAGTAATAAAAAAAAATCATGTTCTCGTGCAATAATTAATCATGAAAATTTTGCAACTCCAAATATTATACGTGACCTTCTTCTATGCGTTTTTTTTGTTCGTGTTTCAATTCAATTACATGTTGCGTGTCTTTTTTTTGTGTGTCGAATATTTCTTAATTTTAGCATTAAGTGAATTGCATCACGTCCGGTTTATTTCCATTCCTTTTTAAGATGAAACGGAGCGCATGTGTCTGTCTATATATATATTTACGACTAGATAAATGTTATTTATTTTCGGATTCACGTGCTTTTTTGCCGGCGAACACTTTCGATCTCACTCTCGAGAGTCAAGGGAAGTCAGTAGCATTCACTGAGAAGTCGACGAAACCAAATATAAATAAATATGCTAAAAAAAATGTTTACAATAATAATAATAATTTTCGTCGTATATGAATAATAGTAGCGGAGAGTGAATAAATAAAAATGTTTATACCTCAAGGTGAAATGATTGCAATTTCTTCGTTTTTAAAGGTCTCATCTGTGCCGAGGGCGCTTTGTGGAAGGACCAGAGGCGTTTTGTCCACTCCGCGTTGAAGAAGTTCGGAATGCATAAATATTCTGAAAAGAGGAAAGAAATCGAGGCCCTCATCCGTACGGAGATCGACGATTGTTTGAAAGTACTGTATCTTCTTAAAGCTTGTGAAGTTTATTTAATTGTTTTATGATGTTGAATTAGTTTATCGAGAGCGACCCATTGGTTAGTCCAGAGGATGTACTGAGACACAACATAGGGAACGTCATCAATAGCTTGGTCTTTGGGGTTCGGTATGAAAGGGACGACCCTATTTGGCTTTGGTTGCAATCGCTACAAGAGGAAGGCGTCAAGCACATCGGCGTCGGAGGAGTTTTGAATTTCGTTCCATCATTTAGGTAACGTTTTCAGTGATCTTTAATTATTTAATTTCTTAATTTTTCAATTATGCTATAGATTTATTCCGAAATTCCGTAAAATTTTTAATTATTTGCTTGAGGGTAAACACAAGACGCATCAGGTCTACCGCGAGATCATCGAGAAGCGAAAGAAGTCTTCGAAAAAATTGGATGGAAGCAACATCCTTGAAGCTTTCCTTCTGGAACGAAGCAGCACGGTTGGGGGTAAGAACGAGGCGTTTTACACGAATCAGCAATTCTACCACCTTTTGGCGGATGTCTTCGGGGCCGGATTAGACACGACTTTGGTCACTATAAGGTAATATTTCTTCTAAACCATTTCGATTAATATGTTTAACATACCGATCGGGCAGCTGGTTCTTTATGTTCATGGCGGCCAATCCCGAGGAGCAGGCCAAAGTTCATAAGGAAATCGTCGAATTTGCGGAAGCCTATCAACATCCCATCGATTTAAACGATCTTCCGTATCTTCCGCTTCTGGAAGCTGCCCTATCCGAGACCCAACGTATCCGATCCGTCGTACCGCTGGGTTTACCGCACGGTGCCCTCCGCGACATTCAGCTGGACGATTTTATCATCCCCAAAGGTTCGATGATCGTCCCCTTCCAATGGGCAATCCACATGGACCCTGAGACGTACCCCGATCCGGAAACGTTCCGACCGGACCGCTTCATCGACGAGCAAGGCAAATTCTTCAAAGGCGAAGCCTTCATTCCTTTCCAAACAGGTGAAAACACACAGAAAAAAAACACACACACACACTAGTAACGTATAAAAAAGTTTGCGCTATCCTTGAACGACGATGCACTTGTTTTTAGTGTGCATTAATCCCGGTTGCATAACGCATCCTTGAACATTGTAGCAAAGCAACACCTTGAAGCACAGTTACCTGAACTATTATTTTCCTTTTCCGACGTCCTTGGTGCATTTGTTTTTATTAAGTTTTTTTTCCTTTTTTTTGTTTCTCGCTTCTACCACTATTCAACTTACGCAACAAGGAAATCGAATGTGCATCGGGGAGGACCTTGCCAAGATGCTGATGCTGCTGTTCTCAGTCGAAATCCTTCGACGTTTCGAAATCATTGCTCAGGGAAGCTTGGATTTGGAAGGCGTCACCGGGATTACTTTGGCGCCGAAACGGCAACTTCTTCTGTTCAAGAAAAGGCTTGAATAATTATTTCTTTTTCTGACCTTACTCTACCTTCTCAATACAAACTTTACATATGTTGACATTTCCGGATGTTTATAATAATAGTAATGGCAATTTTACCTTGAAATAAACAATGCCTTTTTTGTTACAATTTGCAACATCCGGAGTTCCCGGAAAATATCCAAAATGTATTTTTAAATAACAATATTGATCTCATTTGTGACTACCTCCAAACTTTTACAAGAGAGTTTTTACAACTTCAATGTTATATTTTATAATAAAAACGTTGATTTATTTTGTGATTTCTTCATATTTCCGGCTTTACCGGACAGTATCTGATATATTTTAATTTTATATTTAATTCTAAAAATGTTGATCTCTTTTGTGACTACCTCCAACTTCCGTGTTTACCAGAAAGTTTTTAAAATTTATTTTTTTATCTTTAGATAAATAATGTTGATTTCTTTTATCACAATATACGACATTACTAGAAATATTTTTAAATTAAAATTTTTGTGACTAGTTTCCGGTTTGACCGGAAAATTTATAAAATTATAATTTTATCATTAAATAAACATAATTTTATGATTTCAATTCAGTTTAAAATTCAAAATAATTGAAAAAATAATTATTTCATCTTGAAAATTATCAAACATTGTTTAAATTTTATTGTTGGTTTCGTAAGGGTGATAAAGGAAAAAAATAGAAAATATATATATATTGATTATTTTTTTATATATAAAATACGATTTATTTTTCCATACTTCATTAACACTGTTTTTTGTATACACAAATTATAAAATAAAAAATAAAACTAAAAATGTGTGTGCTTTTTTTTTCATCCTTCATATACAATACGAATAGGATTTATATTTTGTTAACATCGAGGGTACATTTAGGAGGTATTTATAAGATTATATAATATATATACACAGTAAAATAAAGGTTATGTACAGAATATAATAGTAACGCTAGGATAATTGCGGCCGTCGGATTCGATTGTTCATATTCGCTTTTTTTTCTTCTTTTCATTCGCAGGTTGGGTATGAGGGTAGCAGCAATATGTACAAGAGAAATAAATATATATAAAAAAAATGAGTTTCCCGCGCTTCGGTGGTTGTTCGAAACGCGACGACCTATACTTAAGACTACTAAATTAAACGCTGGTTCATATTAAAATAGGTAACAGAAAAATGTTAATTATAAAAAAAAAGAACAAAACAGTAATTGTAACATATATGTAAAGTAATATGTCAACATGCAATATTATTTTGTTTCCTTTTCTTCTACTTTTCTCGTCGTTTATATTATTTTATGATATAGTGGGCGGAGGTTTCACTCGTACTTTTTTTTCTTAACGTTTCTTGTTTGTTTTTTTTTTACTCTTGACTAGTTATTAATTGTAATTGTATGCTTATAATCGAGTACGTAAGACTAATGAAAACAAAACAATAATGAACACTTTGTATATACGCACAGCCGACTTCTGCTCGGTTGAGTTTTTGCGATCGGAGATCTTTGATAGATTATTTTAATTGCTTTAAATTATGTTTTAATCGAAGACTTAAGTTCTACGAATTTAATTACGAATTCATTAATACGAATTTATATAAAAAGTAATAATATTATGGATGTAGTAAAAGTAAAAGAAGTGCCTTCGGCTAGGAACCATTCTTTCAGTCACCGTGCTCTTAAATTAACAACGAAAATATTATATGTAGAAATAATAATAGCGATAAAGAGTAATATGATATTTAGTATGTGTTGTTAGTTTGATTTGTGTTGTGTTTTTTGTTTTTTTTAGTGACTTCCGGCGGTGCGGATCGTCGTCGTGATTGGATCCGAATCAAAGGGCCTAGGTTTCAGGCTCGTGTTGAACGGGTTCGGATTTATCGTCACGCCGGCGTTACCTTTAAGGTTGGGAAGGGTTTGGCCTTCCGGCACGGTGAGGTCGAAGCTGTGCAGCAGAGAGCTGAAGAATAGGAAGATCTCCATACGGGCGAGAACTTCTCCAAGGCAAATGCGGCGACCGACTCCGAACGGAAGGAAGAACTCTGGTTTGTGGACCTTGCCTTCGGCATCGATGAACCTGGATGGGTCGAATTTTTCCGGTTCGTCCCACAGTTTCGGGTCCATGTGGACGGCGTGCAGCAGTGGCACCACTTGGGCGGTTTGCGGAAGATGATAGCCGTTCAGGTTGAGATCCCTGATGATTGCAATGAAGAAATACAGTTAGTTAATTTGTTCGATTCATGTTTTTTTTTCAAGAGATGACTTACTTTGTTGGAGCGTGCGTGGTTCCCATGGGGACGATGCTGGATATGCGTAGGACTTCTAGGATTGTGGATTCGGTGACGGGGAGGTATGGGAGGTCTTCGAGATTTGGAAGACGTTTTCTGCCGACGATCTGGTCGAGCTCTTCCTGCACGGCACGCATCTTTTCTGGGTGGTGGAGCATGAAGAGGACGCCCCATTGGAGGGATGACTTAATGGTTTCCATGCCGGCCGAGAAGAGGTCGCCCATGATTTGTTGCATTTGACGATCTGCGGTAAGAATATAAAAATTGATTAATTCGCTCTATTTCGTTGAGTGAGTTGATTGACATACCGTGATCGCGACCCTCGAATAATTGATGACCGACGCCTTCCTCGTTAGCCTTTTGGATCTCCAAGAGATAAGTGTCGACAACATCGCGCAAGTGACTAGGATCGAAGGTGCGCCTGTGCTCGTCAATGGTCATTTGTAGGAAAGTAGCCATCTCTTTACGGTTCTATAGAAGAAATAAAATAATTAGTAAATATTAAATCGGATGTAAATCATCTATGACTTACCCCTTCGATCTTCTGGCGAGTTTTCCTCAGACCGGGCAAGTATTTGAGGACGGGGATAAAGAGGGCGGGGCTCATGGATCCGAACAGTTTGAAGCCTTCGTCGATGAGTTCCATGTAGCGTTGGAAGCGGGTGTCGTTGTGAGAGAAGCGGACGGACATGAGGATGTCGCAGATAACGTTTGAGATGGAGATGGCGAAGAAGGAGTTGATATCAGTGGAAGCGCCATTCTGTGCTCTCATCACGATTATTAACTCTTCGACTTCACGCGTGATGCGGCTCTCCATCTGCGCCTTCTTCGAGCCGATGTAAGTCATGCCGAGGTTGCGCAATCTGTCGTGCAGGAAGCGCCTCTGGTCCTTCCACAGTTTACCTTCGGTGTTAATCACGCCTGGAAACAAAAAACGGAAATATTTGAATCATCAGAATCACGATCATCGCCAATGACGACTACAATACAAATAATAATAATAGTAACGACAACAATAATAATAGTCGAGTGCGCGCTGCTGTGACCCAATAAGTGTTATGAAACGCGCGTGCAGCTTGCATTAAAACTGGGTTAACTTCGATTACAAAAATCGGCTTCTGCATGCCTTATCAATCGGTTTGAAGTTGATGCGAGTCAATCTTCGTTTCCTCGTGATATAACAGCGGGCGAAGGAAGGATGACAGGAAACAAACAAGTACAAGAGCAGATTCATGGTAACTTACCGTATCCGCCAAGGATTTTGGTGAACTCGGTGACTGGTCTTCCGGTGAATTCCTCCTTGCGGAAGGTATCGCGGATCATCTTGTAGTCGCTCAGGACAACCATCAGCTGCGAACCTATCCTCATCGAGAAAAGTGTGCCGTACTTGTGGGCCAGGTCTCTATAGTACAGGTGCAGATCGCCCTTGAGAAAGGGCATCGAGCCTATAATGGGAAGACCCCAAGGACCCGGCGGGAGTTTCTTCTCTTCCGATAGGATCTGCAGGATTCGTACGATCATCAGCACCGACACGAAGACCAACAGAACGTTGGAGGACACTTCCCGCGTAATAACACTCCATAGCCACAAGAAGCCGTACACGAACATTTTGATTTAGTTTTGATGGTGACTGCTTGTATTTATTTAATTATATTATTTTCTTGTAATATTCTACACTCGTCGCACTGAATCGAAGAAACGCACGAGCAGCAAGTGAGTATTTAGTCTTCTGGACTTCTCAGTCTATCGGAGAAGACGATTATTTTCTATGTATATATTTTATTATAAAATATATTCACATGTACAACGTACATCTACCAATAAAATAATATATATTTCTATATATTTAAATACACATGCATACAATGCGAGAGCATATATATACTAGTGGTTCTTGCAGTGGTAGTGTGTCGAGTGCACATGAGTGTCAATGCTGTATCAAGACTAAACCAAAACCTTATATACGTTACTCAACCATATGACTTGAGTCATATTGAGTGGGGGGTATTTTAGCATCTTAAAGAGTGCGGGAGGAGCCTACCTGCTGATCCAATCACCACGCAATCCCCTCTCACATCCATTGGTTATTCACTCCAAACGATACTCAACGCCACGCCGGTCGACTGTGTTGTTCCCTCTTCTCCACCGATTATAAAATAAACATCATCATCAAAGTTTTACCATCATCATGATTGCATCCCTCTGGTCTCTTAATCTCCACCTCCGCCACCTCTTCTTCATCATTCATTGAACCTATGGTAGGAAAAGAATCTCATCATTCATGACCTTACTAAAAGAAACGCATTGAAATTAGAGAATAAAAGAAAATTTAAATTTAAAAAAATATACTATTTATTCTGTGTTATTGTTTAAAATCAATTCAAATAGATTTTAATATTGAAATCAAAATGTTTAATAGTTAATAATAACTAAAAATAATTGACTATATACAAAAGGCTATTGACTGCAGTCTTTTCGCCCAAGATTTTGAGAAATAAAATTTACATAAATTGATTCAATTAACATTTCTATAAAAATACAATTAAATTTTATATTTATATTTTAGATCTTAGATATTGTTAGATCAGCAATTCCTAAAGTGGATGATGGTCAATTCAGAGGTAAAGCTTAAGTATTTTATGTTTAACACGAGAGACACATCAAATTTCGTACGCTATTTTGATAACGCGAGTTCAAAATCTTGCGACTCGAAGTTTGACCTTTCTGATTGCAACTTGTGTTAAATCTATAATATACATGAATATGTATATAATATGAAATGCATACTACAAACTCAATGTAAATAAATAAGTGGAAAGACAAACAAAAACTAGTTGGCCAATGCGAATGTCATGAGAAAAAAAAAGACTACAACCGAATCTGTATATAAAAACATTCACCAAATTGGCAACTCCTAACCTTAGCGAATGCATTTATGTTATTTTTTTAATATCATAAAAAACGTTTTGAAAAGAAACAGATTTTTTTTCAATTACTCAACAAGATGTTGAATTTAAAGTAGATATTTGGGTTAAAAAGACAATCTATGAAATAAAATAAAAAGCAAGCATTTTTTGGTTAGCACTTTAAGTTGATTTAAGATAATTTAAGAAAATTTCCTTTTATAAATTTCAAACAAAAGTCATAACAAAATTTTATATTTCATAGATAAAATTGTGTCGCTTATATAAAAAATCATTCGACACTCAGATTAAATTAAGAAAAATCTATTGCTTAGGCAAAAATCATTAAGAAAATAAGAATATTTAATATTATGTAATACAAATTAATATTTGAATTAATTAGATTGCGAATGAAGTTCTAAAAGTCACATTGACAAAAAAAATGTTTCATTAAAATTGACAGAACTTTGATCATAATTGTGATATATTAGATCGTGTCAATTTTGATAGGTTAGATCTGTCAATTTCACAGTTTTCGCATGTTTATATCTTTTCTGTTGTCCACCATGACCTTAGCAAACGGTTGTCCAGCAACAAAACGAACAACAAATGTTGAAGTTACGATCGTCGGATCATTCTGCAGTTTGTGCATTTTTTTTATTATTCAAATTTGATGAGCTTGTCGAATGCGACAATAAATGTTTAAAAATAGCGCAACACACGGCCGGAATGTAGGTGAAAAGATGTAATTGAATTTGTTGTTCTTTTCGCTTGCACACACGCACTATGGACATTACATAACGCGAAAATAAAAATTAACAACGAAGGAAGTCGAAAAAAAATACATCATTCCAGGAATCGAACGCAGCAAAAACAGTGCAGATCGATTCCAACTGTTATCGGTCGTTGCCTTAGTTTCGTTTTTGATGAAACATTTCTAGATCATATATTTTATTTATCGAAAATAGTGTTTTCTTTCTTTTCTCTATTGGCAATGTTGGAAAACAATAAATATTTTGGTTTAATGAACTCTATAAGTACGTGAGGCTTTTATTCCTCGTTACGTACATTTCGTTTAAGTGGGTTCGCGTGGGTCCAAGAAAGAGAGAAAGTCCCATGGCAATCAAGGTTTAATTGCGTTTCGATCCAAAAATAAATATATATTATTGTAATTTGCAAAAAAGTCAGAAGTGGTTTGATTCAATTTTTCAAAAAAAAAGATAAATTTCGTGATGAATCAAAAAATTCAGTGGCGACGACAAAAGTCAAAGAAACAGAGAGAGACAGAGAGAAAGTGAGTGCGATCGTGGGGAAAGTTTTATCGATGGAATCTTTCTTATCCAAAAATAAATAATGAATATATATATAATAAAAAAAAATGAAAAGGGACTCTATGCTTCCTTGTCGGTCAACGACTTCTGTCTCCTACAAAGAAGGAGGAAAATTTCAAAAAGAAAGAGACAGAGCGAGAAAACAAACTAGAACCCAAAAAGGTGTTCGACCCATCATCATTTGTCTCTCTTTCTCTGTTTCAATTCCAGGTGCTCTTTTGTATCGAAAACACTTGCCAACGGGACGTGATAGAAAGCGCTCTTCAAATTTGTCCACTAAACTTCGGTTGCCTAATCCCATTTTGGAAACGAGTATGTTGTCTGAGTCGGTATATCTGCTTTTTTTTTCTTCTGTTTCTCTCTTTCAAATAGTCACAAATCCGCCTGGGCAGAATTGCAAAATGTAGTTTCTATTTTATTTTTAGCGCGCGGAAAACTTTTTGGGGCTTCTTCAAGGCCTACCTCACGCATAAAATCTCCGTGATGACATTTCAATCGATAATTTACAATTTGCAAATCTTAACTCAAAATATTATCTTTCATGACATAGTAAAGTTGCAGCTTTTATGCGTTTTAATGTGTTCCAACAGCATTGAGCATACTGACTAATAAAGAATAAAGATTTTTTAGATAAATACAATATATTTTCGATATAAACAACATTGTTTTGTTAAATTGACCTTTCAGTGCGTTTAAAACAAAAATTCCGTGTTTAAGACTAAAAAATACAGGAACTTTAATTTCATACTGATGTGGCTGCAAAATTGCACCCCTTATAATCAAGTCGCTATGGTAACCGTTTCTATAATCCAAAGTTAAGTCAATCTTAAGTCAAAATATTATCTTTTATGTCACAGTATCCTTAACTGCAAGTAAATCACGTTACATGCGCTATAGTCCGGTTTGAATATATTTGAAAATAAATGTTAAATGACAAAACAAATTAGTATACAAATTTACTTTTTACATATGATTGTTTAATGTGTTCCAACAGTCCGGTATATTGGTATATAGTCCGCACTATGCGAGGTATTGCTAACAGCTCCAGCATTGAGTATACTGTCTAATATTGATATACATCAACTGTTGCTACAATTTCTTTAATTTTCTTTAATAATTATATAAAAATGTTATAGAGCGTTATTGTATTATAAACAAGGAAATAAAGGTTTTTTTTAGATACAATATATTTTTTTTTGTTAAAATATTTGTTAAATACACCTTTAAGTGCGTTTATAAAGAAAATTCTGTGATTTAGACAAAAAAAATACATTCATTCCATACTGGAGGGTTTGAACCGTTTCTACAATCCGATTGTTGTATTTCCTCTTTGTTACTACATTAGTATTTTTGTTTTCTTTACGTTTCCCTTTGCTGCCATTCTTGCGCAACAGGCCCCCCTTCGATTGGGCAATCGAAACGGGGGCCTGCTTATTCATCAAAGAGACACCACGTTCACAATCACAATACGTTTGCGTATGCCTCGGATTTCTTGCGAGGAAAAAAAAACGATCGGTCGGTTAAACACACACATATACGAAAGCGATGTACCAATAGAATAAAGCGCGATTGAATTGGATGGGAAAACGATGGTACATAAAAAAAAGTGTAAGCGAGCACACGCGTGTGTCCAGAAAACGTCCGCCGTTCGGAAATTGAATTAATTGGAAACAATTGCGTCCACGACGTGCGTATGTGTGCAATGGCACGTTTCTATGGTATTTTGAGTAAACAATATAGTGTTATTACGAAAGCGTAGTGAAGACGGGACGTTGCTCTCGTACGAGTATTGCGCATTGTAAGAGAAATATAAGTTGATATACGGAAATGAGCAGAAAGAATAACAATTACATGTTTGTGTTGCATTTCTAGTTGATTTTATTCAATTATTTCTTCCAGGATTCTAAATAAGAAAAAAGTATAAATTTTAATTGATTAGTTTATATTATGGTGCATCCACACTAAATGTGTTTTTTTATACTTGTCGCGATGATTTTTTTTGAGTAAACAATTTTATAGAAATTTACGAAAACACATTGAAGTACGTGTCGTTGCTCTCTTTCGGGTATTGCGTATCGAAAGTGAAAAGAAACGACAAAAATAAGATGTTGTAATAATGAACAACTCTAGTTCAATTTTTGTATTGTTTTTGAGCTTTCAGAAACACTACCCTAGAAAAGCATTAAACTCAATACAGCAATATCTTGCAATCGCTTTCAATATTCTGGACTGTTTGAAAGCGGATTAATCGAGGAACTAAAGAATAAAATTTATACAACAAATTATTTTGTGTACTATTTTTTTAGAATTTATTTTTATTATGTTGAATTAATCGATCGAAGTAGGTAATCATGATTTTCATGTTACTGAATCTGAAATTTTCGTTCGAAATTTTCTACTGATAATTTCAGAAACTTAATTTAGTTTTATAGGTTTCCGAATGGACATATTTAAAGAAAATGTAACGAAAAAGTACAAAAAATACTATTTTTACTTGCAAAATTATATAATTTATTTAAAAAAATGATTTAACCGAGAATTGTAAAAAGATTAAAATAAAAGTACGTCAATTGGTCCAATAAAAGCAACTGGTTTAATATGAATTGTAATAGCAATATTCTATTGATAATTTCACTAATCTCTTAGTTAATTTAGTTTTA